TGGCCCAGTTTAACGTCGACCCATTGAGTGCCATAGATCATAAGGAGGCGCTGGGAAAACTAGGGCATCAGCTACGCTCCCACACTTGCGTGCTCAACTTGTGCGGAACTGTGGACCGTGCGCAATGGGACTCTAACATCTTTGTCTGCGCTTGGGGCTACCCGATGCTACACGGGGAAGTGAGTTCGGAAGATGACATCGAAGAAGACGCATCAGTTCACAAACAGTGTCTGGGAGGAGCCGGATGTGATGCACATCCTTTTCAAAGGCGAGGATCCTCGACTACTGATTCACCCGGTGTACGAGGGAGCTGTTGCTGAAGACGACGAGGCCGCTCTCCGGAGGAAACAGAAAGTGACACCCACGGATGTGGAGGAGAAGTCTTTCAAGTCCTTGACTTTCGCGGACATTGGAAACCTCACCCAGAGGGGGGCTCTGTACAAGGACGGCGAGCGGAATCCGAATCAGTTATGCAATCAGCTTCTTTTCTTTTGTGGTGTGGCAGATGGCGTGCTGTTCTTGGGAAAGTCGCACGCGCAGGTGGTGTGGATTCTGCTTCAGCAGGGAAGGCACGTCTTGGCCGTGGATGGGGACACAATGCAACTCGAATACACCGTGCAGTATGTCACCCATGAAGTATCGTCCAAGGCTTACCCATGCGATTTCCACCATGTCGTGGTCGAGCCCGTTTATGACCCGAACAAGGACATGTTCTTCAAGTTGACTCCGAAGAAAAGGCGCCAGGTCTACTCCTTCCTTTACGGCGAACAACCAAGGTTGAGATTTGACCCGCAGTACGTGGTGCGGATGGAAGTCACCATTGCGGTCCTCCAGGGCTACCATAGAGCGAGTCGGGCCGGCGCTGTGAGCTTCATTAAGAGGCTGGAATATGTTTTTTTTAACGAGGATGTTGTCGATCCGGCCGACTTCAACAAGCTGGTATTCGGTGAGGAGGACGACTTCAATATCAAGATTGAGCAGGAGGAGAGCGTTGAGGACGACCTCTTCGATTTGGACGGGCAATTGGCCATCTTCAACGCCCAAGTTTCTGAGTCGTCGTCAGTATGCAAACCGGGGACACCTCTCGCTACACCCACCTCGGGCGGTCCCACGCCCGTGTCCTCCTCAGCGCATGTCAAGAGGGGTGGGTTGTCCCGTCTGAGGAGTTCGCCGGGGGAGCCAATTCGTCTCACACCGCAGCCCGAACGTCTTCGACCCGGCCATTTAGTTCCTCTGGACCATCCGCATCTCACGGTTCCTGCGACTCCCTTCCACATGGGCGACAAACACACCTTCTCCACAGCCGAAGATTGGGGCCATGATATCGTGTGGCACCCAGACCGTTTCCAGCCAGTCCTTCTCGACGGCGAATGGGCAGTGGCTGTGAGGGACGTAAGTGGAGGGTGGATATATGACGATCATTGGGACCTCGAGACATTCAAATCTCGCGCCTTCGATGCGGTTTTGGAGAGATTAAGTGAGGTCAATCGACGAAGTAAGGACGTCCCTGCTCTGCGCGGATACGGGGACACGCTGTTCGATTTATTGCAGTCAAATAAATGGCTGGAAGTGTCCTCCGCGTTCTACGCCCTTCCGTGAAGCCCGTCAATTAAGCAAGTGAGTTGGGAGTTGCCTGCGGTCACCCCGCTGGCAGGAGTTGTGAAGCGCAAGTCTTGCGGAAAGGACGGTGAAGGGGATGGTGAAGGCGGCGGGCAACGAGGTACCGGAGGTGGAAGTGAACAGCGGTCTCCGGGGCACGCAGGCGGCGGAGAGGGGAAAAAGGGCAGCCGGGAGAAGAAAAAGCCTCGCAGCAGAGAGAAGACAAAGCATCATACAGGAGATGGGCAAGGGTCCGATGTCGACCGCGACGAGGATGGTGGGGTTCTGGCGGTGATAGGCAGCACCTCAATGGAGACGGGGAACGACTTCAGGCCTGGGTGGATTACGCGGCCTGGCGAGCAGGACCCTGTGATTAGCTCCACCAGCGCAACAGAGTATACCGATGCTGTTGGTGGGGCAGTTGTAGCAAAGAATGGAACTTGCTTCGCTCAGCTCCAAAAACGGTTGGCGGATTGTCTCGGATCTATCCGAACCTCGGAGACGACATCGTCGTCCGGAACTCAGTGCCTTTCGGGAAGCGAGACGACAACATACCACGGATCCGGCAGCGTCAAGCTCCAACCATGTTCGGTTTCACCTCAAAAGGAAGTTCGGATTAATCTGAACCGGGAAGCCAGTACCGTTGAGAGAGCACAGCGGTCTGCGGAACTCGAACGGGTGGTCCGGGTTTCGGAAAACCCTGGCGGCGAAATTCGGATTGATCCGAACCAGGAGGACGTGTCCGCCATGACAGACGACCGGTGTCAGGACGCCGTAATGATGTGCATGGAAGTCCACAAGGAGCTGCAGGGAGACTGTCCGACTGAGGGTGAGTTAGCGGCTAGTTTCAATGCCGAGCCCCGCACACTCGGAGCCAAATGCCTGGTGACAGTACGCGCTGAGTTAGCAGTCTTAAGCGACTCTCCGGTGAAAGCGGACACGTCGTCGCCGTTGGAAACTGCGGGGGCTCGGATGAATCCGAACCAGGGCCCTGTGAGCATGTCCCTCCCTGATGCAGGTTTGGAGACGACAGTAGTTCGGATTCATCCGAGACACACAGACGAAGGACTTGACGGTTGTCAACTCCTGACGACTTTGGACAAGGACGATTCCGCCGACGACCGGATTGATCCGACACTCGGCGACGTCTGGATGGAGCAACCAGTTCAACCGGCATACGGCGACCCCTTGTACTTCGGCCTTCACGACGAGGCGATGGAAGAGGACGTTCTGAAGAAGTCCTCTGACGCTGTTGGAAATAAATTTCTCTATTTGAGTGACGACGATAAAGACACAGCGCACGAGGACAAGAAGTTAAGGGGGGGAGAGGTGTTGTTGGACATCCATGGGACCTTGAGCGCAACACAATACGACACAGTGGCGATGGAGGAAACCCAACCTGTCGATGTTGTGGACGTCGACGCTCTTTGTCCGGAGATGGACAGACTAAAATTGCCCGTCGCGGACGTGGAGGATTTTCGCCATCGGGATGGGGATGAATTCATGCTGTCTCCGGTCATCGGCGCCGACATCTCGAACCTGTCAAGTTTCCCTGTGAGTTTGGAGCACTCGCTGCGTAGACGCGCACGGGGGCGCCAATCGTGTTGGGACTACCATCGGTGGGCTCTAGTGACGTGGAAGCTAAGCGTGGTAAGCACTTTCTTCCTCTGCTTGCTTCCTGCTCGTCAGCCCGTTCGTGAAGTGTTGTTTGCTTTGTCGATTTCGGGGAGGTGTGTAGGCGGCCGCCAACTGGATTGTGACGATGTGCTTCGTGATGTGCTGTTTGCTTGGTTGCTCTTGCAGAGTTGTGTTGTTGATCACCCGCTGAACTGTCTGGGTGGCTATTTCTTGTACAGGTCAACGAGCTCGTGGACAAACACACATGTCACAGGAGCCGCCTGCCCTCGCCCGGCTGTTAGTCCTGGTTGCGGGAGGCACAGGAGACTAAACCTCGGGGCCCTCCCAGAAGGGTTGTCGTGCCCGTATTGGGCCCTCGCGCTAGACTCGTTGCAGAGGCAGCTGGTGTTGCCGAAAAAGACTGCAAGGAATTCCTTCTCGAGGCTTGCAGAGATACAAAGAAGGACAGTGCTAGTTAAGAATCAACTGTGTGTGGAAGGTCCAGAAGTAGGGGTGACGTTATGCGTGAACTTTTCGGGCCATAGAGTAGTGGTTCGTCGGACCATGGCCACTAGGACGGCATTTTCACATAGTGCCCCATCCTTTGTGCTTGTTGTGTGCTGCAGGTGTTTGTTGAATAGGGTTTCCTCGAGATGGAAGAGCAGTCCTTAAAGACGTTATCTGCTCCCGGTTGCCGCTCACTATTATCGTCGCACGTTTGCCATCGCACAATTTACAGGTATTCGTCAAGGACATCGTCGCACTCGTGGATGGATCCTAGGAGCTCAACGATGAGGTCGTCAATTTCTACATGGCGATGCTACTGGACGACTGCGGCCAGACTGCTGCTACCAAGAAGACGTACACCTTTAACTTTTTTTTCGCCTCTACACTGCTTCTGCGAGGTCTGACAGCTGTTAGCAGATGGGCTAAAGATATGGACCTCCTGTCTCATGACCTCGTCTTGGCACCAGTGCACAAGGACGGCGAACACTGGAGCCTTTTGGCCATTGACTTCTCTAGACGTGTTTTGAAAATCTATAATTCTTTCTCGTGTTCGTCATCCAAAGATGACTTTCTACTCCGCACTTTTAGATAAATCTGTTAAATTTTTTAACACGGTGGCAGGTGCCGCCGGTGATAGTCGCACTTTCAACCACTTCGCTCGCGAGGTCAACGTGAAAGGTGTCCCTCGGCAGCACGACGGGGCTAGTTGTGGGGTGTTCATGTTGATGTTCGCTTTCTATTTGGCGAGAGGTTTACATCCACCTTTTGGTTTCTCCCATAGACACATTTCCTCTATTAGAGCTAGACTAGCTTTGGCGATTTGCGATGTTGGTAGGTAAGCGTCTATCTTTTTGTTGATCATGTACTGTAGAAGGGTTGACCTAGAAGAACATTTCGTTCTTCTCCAGACGAAATTTATTCCTTTTCATTTTTTCCGTGAGAGACTGGTGGGTGTTCTCGGTTTGGTTCAGAGCAGAACTCGCTGTCACTGCCGGGATATCTCCGGGTGAAATTGTCATGTCCCCGGCGTGTTCATCGTCGACAATATTGTTCTTTATCATTGGCTTTCAATTCTCACGAACGTCCCTGTTATTGGGGCGCCTGTTTCGTTATTGACTTTCTCGCTTTCGTCATTTTGTGTCTTGTGTGGTGTGATGTTCTGCCCGCATACTCGGATGCATCCGAACTCCAACTATCTCTATGCTTTCTGCCTCTCTCTCGAACCTTTCCCGTCGTCTACACTCATCTATGCATTTTCACTTTGAATGTCGTGAGGCATCACAGAGAAGAAAATACAACACAAGGGCCTCTTTATACATTTGATGACCGTCTGACCCTCCGCGCTGGGTGTTTTTTTATGGCCCGAAAATACAACACAAGGGTCGCTTTATACATTTGATGGACCCGTCTAGCCCTCCGCGCTGGGTGCTTTTTAATGGCCCGAAAATACAACACAAGGGAATCTTAATACATTTGATGGCCCGAAAATACAACACAAGGGCCTCTTTATACATTTGATGGTCCGTCTAGCCCTCCCCGCCGATTGGTGCTACAAAGTGACACTGACTGAATTGAGCTGACACTCAAGAAGAAATGAATATTGTATGATTGGTCCTCAATTTCCGAAAAAGGACTTCAAGATTCGACTTCGTCGCTCACTCTCTCTCTCTCTCTCTCTCTCTCTCTCTCTCTCTCTCTCTCTCTCTCTCTCTCTCTCTCTCTCTCTCTCTCTCTCTCTCTCTCTC